TCATGTTACACTCATGCATGTTGTATCGCTTTGTGAATTCATTGAAAAGGAGCAGTAGCAGTAGATTTGCTTGATTTGAGTTGTTAATGAATTAGCTGGGAAGGAAAATGTCACACAAGGCATCGGAACACCTTTGATGAAGATCAGAAGCATTTAAGATTGTGTATGTTTTATTTTATTCACTGCTATTAGCATTTGCTTCAGTGTTTATGCACTGGAATGTAAACAGTTTCATTTTGCATTGCACATGATGATTTGTCTGATTGTGGAGCACATCATATTACAACAATGAAAGGTCAAGTTACAGTAAATGGTAATGTCAAAGATGAAAATTCATCTGAAAATCAGAAACATAGAGCTCCTCTGGCACAAACTGAAAAGGTACTTGTGTCATGTCAAGCCAACTAACAAGAACAAATTTGTTGTTGGCATCTATCGGTTCTGGGACTCTGTGACTTCTGCTAAGTTCTGCAAATACATTAGCCACCTCCAAAAAGTTATTCTTGCTGTAGTCCAACGCAAAGGAAGAGCGTTGGGCTACTAACAGATTCCTTAATAAACAAATAGCCCCTTCTATGAAAGTCTTGGATTACCATGTTGACTGACACAAGTTCAATTATTGGCATAGTGATGGTTTGCCCAATTGCATGCGTTGGTGAGCCTTAAACAAACTAGAACTACATGTATCCTACAACTAATTTTTCTCTTCCCTCTTTTGAGCAGTTTGGTGAACATTGATCGATGATTTGACAAATATCAAAACAAGAAGCAAATCTGTTTCCCATTAAAAATTTGCGTATGGGTTACATCAGGATGTAGTTGTGACAGGTAACCATACTGTAACACAACACCATTAAAATAAATGGCGAGATGGATAAACCAGTTTTTGAGAAAAGCATTTTTACTGATGACAGAAAGCTATGAAATAAACATCCACACATGGGTTTGAATTTAAAATGCAACAACTAGTTATGAATGAGCACCTTAGCTGATTCTACCAAATTACAATACACTGAGAGTAAATTTATTTTGAACAAATTCCCAAGCCGTTGTGACAGATGTTTTTTAAACAAAGTGAAAAATAGCTATTTTGATTAAAGAATTCCGCTGGAAAATGAAAAATCATTTATGTATTCTGATTACATAGTTGCGTTGGTAACAGCATATTGGGAAGGTTGGTTTGAAGGGAGATTGAAAGGAACAAGTTTGCTTGTCATTTGTAGCTGTGTAGTATTTTAGTGCTATTTCATCATAGCCTATTCTTTAAAATGATAAACCGCCAACAATAGAAAAACAAAAGGACTACTGTAATTTCTGGGCGTTTACCTGCACGGCCGATTACCTGCACCGGCCGATTATTGCATATGGCGAAAAACAGATTACAGAACAGATTACCCGCACTGGTGGATAACCCGCACGTTATGTTATTCAACTTTATTATTTCAACATTAAGGTGATACATTTCAGTCTTTTAAAAGTTGTCTGATCTAACTTTCGAAAACTTGAAAGCGTTTTTTTCGAGTTTAAAGGTCAAAGAAATTCAGACGTGTGCACAATTGTGTGTCAATGTTAGCATGTATCTTATTGATAAAATTATACAGTAAAAACACTAGTGGCCCATGCCCAAATCTCGACGTTTCATACTTGACAAAATGCGTATTTGTGGGCACATTTTGTGTGAGCGATCGTTCAGCGCTATGTTCATTTGTTGAAAGAAAGCTGGGCAAGTGTTAAAACTTGAATTATAAAGTGCTGTCAGCGATTTCGGAAAAAAATCTATATCTCCGGTTCTATTGGGCCTAACAAGTCCCTTAAAACAGGAAAATTCTCTTTAGCTTGAGCTAGTGTTAAATGGAAATTTGTTACTGATGTGCAGGATATCTTTGGATTATTTTTGTTACCATCAAGGTTTTGTTTTCACGCGTGCTGATAGCAATTTGTTCGTCACACAACTAATTATGCGTGAAATAAACTTGAGTGGGCATCATGTTTTCGTGCTGCTTTGTGGCACTCTTAATACAATAAAATTCATTTGAGAGGTGGAAACACATGTTGGTGATAATTTTTTTCAATTCAACCACTAGTAGGTTTTAAAATTCACCTCACCTATTACTTGCAGTGGCGCATGTTAAATGCAAAATCAACAGAGTACCCGCCAGTAAATGGCCAGAAATTACGGTACCTGAAACATACTAATGGGGCAGATGTATCAAGCGTATGCACATACATGCGATTTTTTGATGCACGCGATTTTTTTTATTTGCAAATGCATGTGATTTTTAGCGCGTTTTATTCTTGTTTTTTTGGTTAACGCATACACGAGTAGTACTGTATATAATAACTCTATCCTAGCATATTAAGTGGCATGTTGCTTGCACCAATCAGATCACCATATTAGGGTATGTATTTTGCACCATCAGATTGCTGCATTAGGGTATGTATCTTGCACCAATCAGATCTCAGCATTGGGGTATGCTAGCACCAATCAGAGTATTGTTCCTCATGCCAATCATGTCATGAAATTAGGCTATGGCAATTTGTTTGGACAGAATTGACCTAACATTGATGTACACCAAGAGTGACATATTAACAAAGAATTGTGAGCTAATCTTCTAAGTGTAATGGCCCATATACTTCATGATGACTTTGTCCCTATGATCTGTCGGGCTAGAAAGGTTGTCAAGGAAGTTTTATACTATTTAAAAGTTAAAATATGTGTTGTGTACAGCTTCTTGAAAGGAAATGCACACACAATCAGCCAAGCATGTAGAATGAAACTATCACCATGGTGTTTGTTTTGGAAGGGCTAGTTTTGCTGCCTCAGGAATAACTTGCATAAAGGATTTGCATAAAGCATATTTGATTGATAATCTTGTTTTTGCCTCATGATTGATATTTTGGCAAAGGTTTCAAAAATCAGCAAGTTATATTTACTTTCTATGACTGCTACTCACATCAAATATCCATTTCTTCACTTTTGAATGTTCTCCATGAATTACATCTTGTTTTTAAATGGTATTTTACTGATACAATTAGAAATGCATGTTTGCTTGTCACTATTGGTGAGACTTTCTCAGTGGAATGTCATTTTTCAGTAAACAACGTAAATTTTTATGACATAATCCAACACAATTAAAAAGACACACAAATTTGTTTATTATAAATAATTGTTACTAAAATAAAATGCTCTTTGTTACAGAATTGTTTTGAAAGAAACAAAGTGGTTCAAAGGCTGTTTTGTTTGCAAAGACATTTTTGAACCCCAATGACAACCCACAAGTGATGCGCTTACTATAATGAAAACATAGGCTTACTAATTGCGCATACAAGACTTATTTTCTGGATGGGTGGGTTGAGATGGGACTCTATACAACTTATGTTTGCATTTTTGCAAAAGAAAAAGATCATTGACTTCCAAAGAGTACAACAAAACTATCATTCAATGGAGAGCAAAAGAAAACCATTCCAATATATCTCAATTAAACTTATACACAGGTCTTTTGTGGTCTATTATCACTGGTTTCTGTATAATTGTAAGCAAAAGTAAATTGCATTGGTGCTACACTTACTGTAGTCTCCTTTGCAACCATTGTTTGGTCTTGGCATGCATCACATTCTCTTTCCCCTTCCCCTCTGTGCTGTATTACAAAACCAAACAACAGCTGCAAAGTAGATAATACTAGCCTGTGAGAAGGCCCTGATTACTAGCATTATGTCATGAGCATTTCTTTCTCTGTGGGAAAGTATGAGGCCTTCAGTAAAACAAGCTAGCAAAGAGGTCTGTAAATGGTCCTGCTGTGATCTGATTGGTGCAAGATACATACCCTAACACGGCGATCTGGTTAGTGTGAGATACATACCCAAATGCAGCAATCTGATTGGTATGAGCAACATACTACTGAAAACGCTAACATAAAGGTATTTTTCATTAAAAAAAAAAAAAAATCAGAAATGGATTTCTGTTAATTTTCAACTTCTTATTCATGTGTATGACACAGCATATGCCATGCTTTATGTATTCAACACACAACTATGTCTCTACAACTTTCTGATGCTTCAAAAGTGAAACCTGTATATCACAAGAAGAACAAACAAAGTTCAACAGGATCATTCTGGTGAAACACAGTTTTTTACAGATAAATAATATCCATTCTCCCCAAATTTGGCCATGGAAAGAATTAGTTATGGTAGTATTCAGTGCTGTTCTTCATTGGGATCCCTTTGGATGCAACAAGATAGGAGACAAGTCCAAGAAATGCTGAGATTCTCTTATATACTCTGAGTCAGTTTAGATGGTTTGTCCTTAAATTGGGCAATTTTGTCTCAGGTGTGTGTGATTGAGAGAGGTCAAAATCTTTGAGGAGAACTTGTAGATACCTTGGCATGTTTACTTCTTTGAACACAGGTGTAAACCAGCACAGCATTAACCCTGGCAAACAGCCTGGAAAGAAAGTAGATGCTCTTGTATCCCTCTTGCATCATTTTATTTTGACATCATGAAATCAAACCAAAATACAGGCCTGGGAAAAAAGCAAAAATAAGGAAAAACTTGAATTGACTTGAACTTAATGGAAGGTTTGAACTTCACTCAGGGGTAAATTTGACTCACCATATGTTATAGCTCACATTCTGTCTGTGAAATCTTCTCATGCTTATGTAGTAAACCACTCTCAGAGTTAGAAATGCAGACACAATGAAAAACTTGATTTGTCTTAAAATCACCCAAGATAAAAGACACAAAGGGTATATTCTTTGTGCAGTTACTTTAATCTGCCTTTGTTCCAAAATTTGTAGAATATTTTTTTTCTGTCAGTGTTATTTAGTTTAGGGAAGAATTTGTAGCTTCTCACACACCCAACAGAATGATAGGCAAAAGGGGCATGAATTTTCATATTCCCCTCCTCCCCACCAAAATAATGACTTCCTTGTGTAACATACCCTTGTGTGGCCATGTTTTGTGTTCTATTGCATTGTGTTTCTGTTGAAATGATTTCACAATTAATCTTGTTAATAGGGATGGGACATCTGATGTAATGGAGTGCTTGGTAGACAAGACGAATTTTCTTCCAAATGAGGTTTGTCAGTTACTGCAGAAACACAAGAAATTTTTATGCCAAGTGGACACTGTCTAAAGAATGAAACGTTTTTAAAAGAAATAATACACAATACCTCTTTCATTAAAAACAATCCTCTAATATCTCTCAGGTTGGCTACCTTATGTTTTGGATTGTTGCTCAGTCAACTTCAGACATGAATATAATACAGTTTTTAAACATTTGTCCCTCTTTTCTCTCTATATGAAGGGTAACAAACACAGTGGCCTCCATTTGGCGCAAGAAATATGCTTGTATATTTGTCTCTGGACATTACCTGTTCTTTGAATCACACAATTGTTTGCTTCACCAAACAAATTATCTCCGTGGACAAATATCCCTCCATGTTTTCATGTCAAACAGTACAAAATGTTGTCTTGGTGCAGGGCTAAAAATTAACTCCAATGCTCGGTTGCCAGTTGGGACAGTTTCCTTGAATTCTTAATGGCCCATCCTAAAATGGAGTAGCCCTCGATTTCCTCTAGTTAAAAATTAAAAACTTGAGTAAACGCCCCATGGCTTTTAAAGGAACGTTAACTGAAAGGAAAGAACATAAAAAGGCAATGCCCCCAGTAATGCCATAAGACACTTTTCTTTAACATTTCGGCCATTCATTTGGCACCATAAAATTATTAGAGGTATTGAGTGTTTTTTTTTTTTATTTAAGTAAATAAAATAAACTGCAATAAAGTAACTTCAAGAATTTATTTGCACTTGTTGTAAAAATCATTGTAGAAAAAGCTGGGTTTTTTTTTTTTAAGACATTCTTGCATGCAGTGACTGTGGTTACAGGTATTTCTGGATAAGCCTATCAACAAATTCTTCCTCAAAACAAAAACGTGTGCTTCAAAACCATCACGGAACTCTGGGTAAGTCCAGAGTCACGTGGCAATCACAAAATCAAAATGGCGTCTATATGTTGTGAATGTGGATCGCTCGTGAAATCACTGTTAAAACGGCTCGGAATTTCCACTTCAGACCTAAAATTTCATGGATGATCTTAGAGTCCAGGCAAAGAAACGAAGAGAAAGATAGTCCAACTAAACTACATATTGAGTTTTATTTTTAACTTTGTACTTCGCATAATTTACATTTATTGTAATGATATACTTTTAATTCATAATATCTGTAGCATAGTCGTTTTTTCACATTGTAACATAAGATATGTAGTTTTATCTTATGATGGAATAAAGACAATACAATTTACTTGCAACTTTGAGTGGCTCTGGTCAGTTTTAACTTGCCACTGGTGACCATGCAACTGCCAATTTTTAGCCCAGTTAGTGCTCAAGCCAAGTAGCCCATCCAGCTGAAGCTGCAACCCTTCTAGATGGGATTCGAGTCTATCCTGGTTACCCTCAGGCATTTCATCAGGTTTTTCTGACAGTTCAGACTCAAATATAAATATATGGGTGGAGAGAGGCACTGTTCAAATTCAATGTCATGCTTAGGAACACAAAACAATGACTTGACTGTCTTGAATTATGGACCTCTTGACCTGGAGTCAAGTATGTTTTAAAACTGTTTAGCCTCAGCTTCTCCACACACACTAAACAGAGGCAATTGCTTATGTACAGAGGCAGAAGCACACAACCTCGAGGATTTGCTTCTGATGAGATAATTGATTTGTACACAAGATGAGTGTTTGCAAGCTGTATTTTGCATTGTATGTACATTAGATTTATTCACTATTTATCACAATTTAACAAGAGTACATGAAATGTTAAATTGATTTATTTGATATTTATTCCCTTGTGATGTTTTTCAGACTTTCCCAGACAATTTTATGCGTCGTGAAGTACGTGCTCTTGAGGTTCACTGCTCATTTGTGGAGGAAGGGTGTAGTTGGAAGGGAGAACTTAGGTTTTTAGAGGTACGTCTGATATGAAAGATTCTGTGACAATCAATTCACTATTTGTTCATACTTAAGCATGGGTTCATCAAGATATAAAGCATGCAGGAAATTTGAAAAGTAGGAAAGACGCGTTAGAGTTGCTCAAGGCATAACCAAGACCAATTCTGGCTTCTTGAATTAAGGCTTTTGGTAGGACTAAGAAGATTTGAGATTTTTTTCATGACTCTATTTTTTGGGGATTAACTACATAATATATTTCAACACTCCCTGGTGTTGCATAATTTAAGCCATTAAAGCAATCTTGCATTTTCTCTTTCTTTTTGTTGTTCTTTTAAGTGTGTAACCCTTTACACCCTAATATCAGTACACGTGCTTCATACTGTCCTCTATACATTTCTTTTGGACCTGACCTGGAGAATTTGTTCCATAATCAAGAGCTTTTTCCTTGAGTTTCCCCAACCAACTGTCGGCAGATTGTTGGTAAGGTTTTAGCGACAGGCTACCAACAAGCGACCAACTGGCTATGGCAACAAACCAATTCAACAATTACTAGCCAATTTTTGGCCAACAAATGGCCAACAGCTTTTTGGGGAGCTCTTCTTCAAAATTTCAATTGTTTGATTCAATGGTGATTTTGTGAGTAGAAATCATATGCCAGCCACTCTAAGGGATTAAAGGAGGTCTATGGCAACAAGATGATATTGATTAATTTTTGTCACTCTTGGCATTCCTGCATAAATCACAGATCCTTCCAAGGATCCCAGACAGTCTTTCATTGGTTGCTTTGACCTTGTATATGACAACACAAGTCACAATTTCACTGGAAATAATATTTTCTCATCCTAAATAAAAATAAAGAATAAAGAATATCAGACATGACCTCTTGATAAAGTTTTATTAAATACCCAAATAAAGTCTACTAATGCGTGGGAGATGTGCAGTGTCGTTGTGACCCTGTGCCCAGACTTTTATTCTAAAAATGCCTGTCAATGAATTATTTTTTTTTTTTTTTTTTTTTTTTTTTTTTTTTTTTTTTTTACACAAAGTAGCCAACATGTCCACTATGGCCATGTATTTTTGAGTAAGCTCTTTGACTTCTTGGTTGCTTCTTCTCATGAGGTAGAGCAATGTAGGACTTTCTAGGTTACTTCACTTTACACAATTATGCCTGTAACGATCACAAAGTAGATCAGATGCTGAAATGGTTGATTAAAAAAGAAATGGAGGCTGGATAGTATCAGAAGCTGCCTTATGGTTTTACAAATTATTTCCATTAGGGCTAAATTTCTTGTTACCTACCCTACAACAATTTTGTAAAGCAATTTTGTGATAATTGTTTTCAACAGAACCATAAGCAGACGGATTGCAAGTATTTGGAAGTCCTCTGTGTGCATACTACATGTAGCATGCAGGTTAAAAAAAGTGAACTTGCTGATCACTTGAGTAAGGAATGCAGATTCAGACTACAGCAATGCCAATTTTGTGATGAATCTGTTGCTTACTGCGAAATGAAGGTACTGTATGCCATTGACTGAGACAGACCACATACTTTAAAGCGCAGTGGTTGCTACTCTTATACTGTGGCATAATAGCTCCGAGAAAGACAGATGTTTGTACAAAATTGATGATCTTAAAGGTAGAAAGGTTTCCCCTTAAATGCAAGTGCCTCTCTCTAGAAAGAAAATGTACCCGGATTAAGATAGTCAGAACTTTCTGTAAAGCGAGGCAAACACTATTTTGTGAGCAGTATATTTATTATGTATCTCTGTGAAATTTAACTTTTTTACCTTGGAAATTTAAGATTGATTTATGCAACACTTAGCCTTTCTTAAACTCAAAGTGCATTCTTACCTAACTTAGTAGCCTGTGTAACTTGGAACAGGTAAGCTAAACACTTTTTCTCTTATTTCTTGCTGTTGTAATCAGGAACACCTCCGGTCGAATCACAAATATCTCCACCGCCAGATGGACAACCTGGGAATTGAAGTAGATGGCCTGCTTCAGTTAGTTTACCTCCTCCAAGATGGGCATCGCCATCTCCAGAATGAACAACGTAGATTACACGAAGCGGTTCAACAACTGCAGGCGAACCTCTGCGTATTGGAGCAAGGCATTCAACAGCAAAGAGAGGATGATGTAAAGAATGCCTTGTGTGTGGTGAAAGATATTCTTGAAGATATGGCCAGGTCGCGTGATGAACAAGGTGCTGAAGCTAACCCCCCACGTAATTGTAAAAGAATGATCAAAGCCGTAGAGGAAGCTCTGGAGGTTAGAAATGCAAACCCAGCTGAGTCAGACCTATGTGCAAGACAGCAAGGGCTTTCAAGCGACGATGGTCAGCTGTTGGCATGTAAAACAAGACGTGTGCACGCAACATGCCAAGAGCCTAATGCCCAGGAGAGAACGGCTTTGGGAAATCCGTCAGGTGCTAGTCCTTTCTCTGAAACACCCAGTGAGTCCAGTGGTAGTGTTCAGAACCTTGCTTTGGTACAACGGGTTGTCAGTCTTAAAAAGAGAGATGCGGACATGAAAATGGAACCTGATACCACCCAGGAGAGCTTCAGGAGGCATGACCAAAGAATTGAATCTATTGAGCACACACAGGCACTCAGGAAGGTGACCCTGGCTGATTTGGAGGGGTACCGAACCGCTGACCACGAAGTTCTTCTGGTAGAGAACAATCGCAGAATGGAAGAAGTTAGACGTGACGTGGGTAATATGAAAAGGCAACTTGACACCACCCAGGAGAGCACCAGAAGGCATGACAGAAGGATTGAATCTATAGAGCACACACTGGCACTCAGAAACATGACCCTGGCTGATTTGGAGGAGTACGTAAAACAGCAAGAGTTCTCAAGCTACGATGGCCAACTGTTGTGGAAGATTCCTGATTATGCTCGCAAACGAAATGACGCAGTGACAGGCCAGCAAGTCTCTTTCGATAGCCCTTGCTTTTACACCAGTCGTCACGGCTACAAAATGTGCGCCCGCATTTACCTGAACGGGGATGGAATAGGAAAAGGAACGCACATCTCGATCTTCTTTGGGGTCATGCGCAGTCAGTATGACGCGCTTCTCCGCTGGCCATTCAGACAGAAGGTCACCTTCATGTTGCTGGACCAGGATAACGTGGAACACGTGATTGACGCCTTCAGACCCGATCCGAACAGCTCATCCTTTCAGAGGCCAAGAAAAGAAACAGACATCACCAGTGGGTGTCCAATGTTCTGCTCGCTTGCTGAGCTGAATAATCACGCATATGTCAGGGACGACACCATGTTTGTAAAGGTTATTGTAGATACGGATGATCTGTAATTAATATTAGACCTGTAGGACAAATTTTTTAGTGTGGGGTTGCCTTAATATAGCATCGGGATCAAATATGGACTCGGGCGATCAGGGACAAATTTAGACGGGCTTTTTTTAATGATAGACAGCATTTACTCAGATTATGCAGCTCCGATGCCGCAGTAATAACTTCAAGGGTTAATTTCGAACAAAAATGATGAACTCTCAAGAGCAACCAGCACAGAGTAATATTTGATAATATCATTAGCGGTCAGTATGATGCATTACTCCACTGGCCATCGGGAGCGTCTTCAATATTTCGTTGATTTCATTACCTCTACTCGTATAGACATACAGGTAACGCCCATTTGAAAGAATTCTTAAGCTCTTGATGGAAGTTCATTATACAAGCCCTAAACCTCTGTAACAACTCCATACTATCATATCAAATTTGTGCCAAGTGAAAAAAATTACTTAGGATCAGAAAGTAAGGCCACACAACAATGTATTTGAGACACTTGGGGGGCCATCGGGATAAGGTTAAAAATTTTCATCCAACAAGGCAGATGATATTTGTAATATTGAAAGTCGTTCACTCAGTTCCATGGTGTTTTACACCATTGATTAACATCATTGTTTGTTTGTTCTGGTGACTTTCATTCTTAGTGAGTGGTAACCAACTCAACAAGAAAAAACATAAGAGAAAATTTCGTCATCGTCTCAGTCGATCCTAATACTCAGTGAGCATCGAGTGAGGTTTTAAAAGTTATGGTCGTAAAGGCAAAGCCTGAAGAAAGGTCCATTGTCATCGTAATTTTTTATAGCTAACCCTTTAACTCCCAGAAGTGATTAACATAAAACTTCTCCCTACAATATCCATACATTCTTCAGCAAACAGGTAATGAGAATATTCAAACTTATCAGGTAGAAGCTGCTATCTTGATCTAGCACTAAATTCTCAAAACTAATTTACAAGGAAATGTGTAGCAACTACAGGGGAGAATTAACAATCAGATCTTGGGAGTTGAAGGGTTAAATTATTATTTACTTTTAAACGAGGTGTTTAAACTACATCATCATTTCGCTTAGAAGTTAGAAATACGGTTTAAGACACGGTTAAAATATTAGCCGAACAAAGAAAAGGAATAAAATTTGATTTGTTACACACTTTATATGATATTTCTCTCATTCGCAGAAGCACTTAAAACGGATGATGAATTTTTCCAGGGCAGCTTAGGCTGGATCGGCGGATAATGTTTGATTTGAAGCCTAACTCGTATTCTGTTATTTTCCTTATTAGACACCGCCACAGCGCTTCGTTTGTGGCAACCTTTGCTGCAGGCATCACTAATTCTTTTTTAATTCATTAATGGCGCATTCATTACCAGAATTAATGGCCGGAATTCTGTAACTAGATTAACCTTCAAGGCGGCCAGAATATTTGAAACGTGGTATGATCCGCGACTAATGACATCTTGTACTCAGAAACCTGTAGTCGACCACGCAAACGTCAAACTAGAGATGCAGCGAAGCGGGTGTGGCCTATGTTTGCTTGCTGGTATATTGAATCATTTTCTGACAGCCCATCTCTACTCAGAAATAACAACCCTTTAATCATGCAAAGACTTTTCAGTTAGCCTTCAAATGCGATTGTCGGTCAGAGGGCTGTATCCGACTTAGGAATTATGCGCATGTCTTTTTTTTTTACACTCCATGGTCCTTGTAAGGTTTTCTTTGGCATTTAACTATCAAAAAAAATTGTGCAGTTATTCTTAGCAAAGATAATTTTTTAGCTTAAGTTAAGACAAAACTCGTTTACTGCGAGCAACTTTCATATATAACAAACTTTGCGAACCTTAGCACATATCGTATGGGAGATATCCACACCTGTCTGCCGTGATTACGGCATGGGCTGTTTATCATATTCTCAAGCTTGCTATGGAAAGCTTATGACAATTTTCTGATTAGCGAAATCCATGGTACTATACACCAAAAGGTTATTCGACTGCGTTGAAGCCTTTGCTTGGTCTCGACACGCAACGCGCACTCTGGTTCAGGTAGTTATCGCGTTGCGTGGCGATAATTTTTTGGGGGCATGACATCATAGCCATTCTCGATGCATTGTGGGATATGGGGGAGCCCCAACTTTCATGAGGAGAATATTAAGTCCTTATTATTTTGATCTATTGCGTGATTTCCCTTTATTCACTTTTAGGCTTTCAAGGGAACAATTATATTTTGGAGTATTGTCGAGAGAAGTTTTTCTGGTCCTAGAGAAACTCTCGTGTATGCCCACGACGTTGACAGACGATAGTGTGAGTTGTTCCCGGCCGGTGAAGTGCAACCAAGTGTAAGTATATTTGACTCTGTTTGTTGCTGCTCGAGTTCAGCGTAATCGTAAATAAGGTCATCATTATATTCAGTATTAGCGGGCAATATGTGTATGTAAACCAATCGCTATCCTCTTAAGAATACCAGTTCTCGTGATAGAACTCACTTTGCGTAGCGATCTAATGTGGCCAACAAATACAGGAACAAGGAAGTCATGTTATTCATGCTTTACGGAACTGAATATAATTAAACACACATTGCATAACGTCTGCAAAACTTCATCTCCGACTAGATTACTTCCATCCCTTCAATGCAATACATATATCTTGGAATCAATATATCAGATCAAAAGTGATTGATGAGAAAAACGGAAAAAAGATTACGTTCAAAAGTAAAAAACAGACAAAAAAAAGGCAAATTTAATTTAATTATCACAATAAAGAATGGTCGAAAATTTAGGAAATATTAACAAATAATTGATTTCCAGAATAATGAATTGGTAGCGAGACAAACGAATAAAACAATCGAAACCGCCTTCCTCGAAGAGCATTTCTTGGTAATTCGAACACATTCGTATTCGAACTTCCGTTTCTCGCATTGTTTTGCGTATCTCTAGGCAGTTTGCAAGGTAGCATACTCCTTTAGAATTTGAATGAAAAAATTAATTCATTTACAACAGACGTAAGACTAACGGCTTGGTGTAATCTTCTTCGTACTGATCATTTTCTTTAAAGCAATATATTGGGATGACTTCGAGCGACGTGACTTGCTCAGACAACCGAGAAATAATGTTACAAACTAATTCATTTCCAATTTCCAAAATCTCTGTTTTGTATTTATCCATTCTTGATACCTAGTTTAGGCTGTCAGTAAAAAGAACTTTGTCGATCAAAAACTTGATTTGCACTCCAGATGTGTTGGTCTATTTAGCTGTGATTTTTTTATATATTGCAACGTCCTTTTAAGGTGATTATTATTTTCTCCTGATATAACAATGCACATTTTTTCTGAGAAATGAATGCTGGAATGCCAAGAAACGAACATCATAATGTTGTCTGCCATTTTCGCTCAATTGGACTAAGGTTACCTTCCGAAAGTGGAACTTTCCAAAACAATGCGCCACAAGGTCATAATTTATCACTCTTCAGCAGTTTTGCAACTGCAGCAATTACTGATGCAACTTTATCTGAACTTTTAAAATATTTCATATGACACCTAAATAAAAAATAAGATATGATACATTTAAATAACATATACAATTATTTGAAAATAGCATTTACAGTATTTATATGTGATGTAGTTTTAACTCAAACCTGTTTTCTTTATTTCATAGATTGTGTTTGTCATTAAGAGTTTAAAGATAATTAGGATATTATAAGTCCCACTTAAATACATAAAGGCAAACGTTTTCTCACAAACTAAAATATCTTTAATTAACTGGTAACAGGACTTCATGATTGCCTGACTTGTGATTGACAAATCAGACTCGTGTTTTTGCAGTTGTCCAATATTTTTTGTCTTTTATATGATTGCAGAGGAGATATGAGGTGACTGCGGGTCATAACATAGGTATAAGGGGGAGGGTCTATTTACATGGCCTGGAGGGAGGGGGTCTTATAGAAATTTTGATCTTTCATACATTAATAATGACCGGTCCCTTAATTAGTCATTATCAAACTTGTACTGCTAGATTGAACAGTGCCTCAACTGTATACAAAGAATGCAAAATTGTGCATAAATTGTCTTCAATCTGCAAAAATATCTTAATTCTGCAGCAAATAATCTGGCAAACTACCAATGATTGAAACTCTTTTAGAGAAGTAAGCAAGGGCAACTGTAAGGGTAGGCCTTTATAATGATTTATGAATTTTTTTTTTTTCAGTTCACTTTTACAGAATTAAGGTATTACCTTGCAGATTACATGATGTTAAGTTTAATTGGAACCCATTATTAATAGTTAACATTGTGCTGTAACATATACTTACAAATATGGCTATTATAACTTTCATTTTGTAATTGGTTTGCCAAAAAACAACATAATAGCAAAAGTAACGCTTGTTAACAATAAAAAATAATTGCACCACAGTAACTTGCATTGATGCCTGGTGTATGTTTATATGTTATGTTTCTATCTGTGCGAATGCCCCACTTCCTGATCAAAAAACATTTCAAAAATTAAAACTAAACAAACAATTGACATTATGCCAACAGAATCATCACTTGAAAGATTTTTATATCATCATATTTTTATCATTCTATGATGATGATGATTTTTTAACCCTGGGAAAGTGATTATGGATAAAATATGTGTTACCTAAGACTATACCAGTTGTTGTCTTGTTTCTATAGTCTGATCTCTCATTGCCTAAAGGGCTTTTATTGCAAAACATTCACTTTGATATGATCTTTCAGTTTTTGCAAATTTGGTTGTTAACTTAGGAAGTGTATTACAGATGTCTGCTTTTACTGATGATTCCCATTAGGCTGCTTGATTTTCCTTTGACCTGACTGGTAGAGTGGCCAAAATGATCTGCCTTTGCAACTTATTCAGAATAAATGTTAACTATGATTAAACAGGGCGATCGTGCAGGGGGTTGTTTTAGCATTTAGACCCATGACTACCTCATGTACAAGCGAGTCTCAGCTGCCATTGATGATGGTACACACTCTCTGAGATTCTTTAAAAAAAGTCAGTGGGGAAGGTGCAGAGTCATAACAACTATCTCTTAACTTGGAACCCAGGGTCAGAGGAAAGACTACCCTTGATGCAATAAATATTTATTTGCTCTTTTTATATCATGAACTCTACATCCAATTTCAATCTTTCATCCTAAAGAAATTTGAGAGATGTTTTGTTTGCCCATAGAGTCCCCCAAGATATTTTTGATATTTGCACTGGAGCTCCATGAGGTGTTAAATCTCTTTGCATAATGGAAGAAATATTTGCACTTTACGCTTTGACTTCAAATTTTACAAGAGGGGAATCTCTTGAGGAAATAAAGGTGAGAGTTGGCATTTCTAAAAGTTTACCAAAAGCTTATTATAATTCCTCTAACGTCAGGTGTGTGTGACTGCATGGTTGATTTAGGATTTGTGATGCAATTATTTCACAATCTGCTCACCCCTTCATCTACCAAGCAGTGCAGTGTCTAATGGCCTGGCTTTCTTCAATTGAAGCAAACTAACAAAATTAATAACCAAATTGAGTGACATCTGGTCCAGACCTGTCAAATCTCATTGAACCTCGCCAATTACCACTTAACTAACAAATTCAGCCTAGGCAACTCAGATTACCAACCTTAAATTACCTGAACTTCATCATCACTATTAAAACTTTTCCCAAACCTCAGCATTATCATGTGATAGTCATTATAATGTTGGTGACAGTGGCATTTAATATATGAAACCTCATCAACTGATCACCAACCACATCTATCACACAACCTCAGAACCTCTCAACCTCATCAACCCTATCAATATCAGCAACCTTAATATGACCTCACCAAGATCACAAAGCTCACCTTTTCATTATTTCATTAAACTGTGTTTATTATCAACATTATCAAACTGTAGTGAACTTCACCAACATAATTAAACTAATGACTGTAGACTCTACCAACTTCACCTTTACCACACAAGCTTTTTATCCTTACATTAATTTAATGCATCCCAGGAACAATATCAACCTCACAAACATTACTATGACCAGAGTTACTGTGTTACTGTAAATACCTGTAATATATGATTTACTTGTTAATTTTTCTATTTTTGTTTGTTTATCAATTAATTTACAGTAAAATGAATAAATA